CGAGTTGACAAGGATGAAAGAATGCTCGATGAAGGAATGCGAGATAAACACAGTCAGAACCAGTTCGCGAACAGAATTAAACAACCTTTTGCCACAAACCGCGTAGATAAAATCGACCGCAGTAAAGATCCGACGAACTAACTCTGTAGAATTATCAAATTGATTTTCATTGCAAATGACAATGTGAGGCAACAACGGGTGAAATGCACGGGAGAAATTTGCGTCGCTTTCTCAGATTATGCCTCCTCGCAGTGAAAACCACGAGGGGGTAAACTACCGATGACTATATTCATGTTACGCAAAATCAAAACATCATTGCAAATCAGCAGGGAATTTCCTGTGTGTGTATGGTGTGTGTATGTGTGTGTGTGTGTGTGTGTGTGTGTGTGTGTGTTTGTGGTGTGTGCGAACGAGTTTATTATCTGATTTACATACTTCTTACTTACTCCTTTTGTTAATAGTCGCAAGATAAATAACATTGTTAATTAAATGATAATTCTTAGACAATTGCAGATATAAGTTGACATTTATGAGCTGTTGGCTTCAGTATTTTTATTGAATCAATCCTTGTCATATTTTCTTCCTCAGCAGTGCTTCATGTCAAATTTTCTATCTGTAACGTCATCGATGCAAAAAACTGATGAAGTGCTGAGCGACAAGTCTGACACATATAGACGTAACTACTGTGAACGTGTTACATACTAAGTGTAAAACAATGTAGAATAGAGGAACACGCGGCGTAACTATGCACTTTCTATTTGATCATGCGTTTGCAGTCGCGTCTCGATTACCACCAGAAAATTATTACGACACAGCCGTACCTTGCTAGCGATCTTGCAATAGGCGAGAAAGCAGAACGCCTTTTCTATGTCTTTTCTATCTGGGCAACTATGACATGCGCGAACGTGTAAACATTTATAGCTTAATTGCGCTGCACTACTAAAAACTTTCGCTCTTTGATTGTAATTTTTAATTACGACATATCTGTATACATCTTATACATATCTGTACTTTTAATTACTAATTACAAATATTTATTCAACGCAGTCTATAATTGTTCGAGAAAGAATCTCTTAGAGTTTCTTCTCATTTAATTTTTATAACTATTAAAGAATTAATATATAAAATATATAAATATGTAACACAATTAAAATTAAGATTTATAAATTAAATAACAATTTTTAAATAACATTAAATAATTTTACTATTTAAATCAGAAATTTTATGCTAAACTAAATATATCTACACTTTTCAGGATTGGATTTGATCCACAAAAGGATTACTTTATATGTATTTATTAAGAAATTGAGTATAAAAAGTAATATAAAATTGGAGCAAACGATAAATATATAAGGAATAAAATACCTTAATTTGTTTTCAATTTTTGTAATAAAAAGTAACTTAGAAGTAACTTTCTCTGATTTCTCAAAAAGGACTTGCTCGATGTATACATTTTTTTAGCTGTTTTAAAACATAATATTAATAACACAGGCCCACAAAAAAATTGTTATTTTTTGTTCGATGAATGCTACTATGATATTCCCATACATTTTTCCCGCTGAAACCGAATCCGTAACCCGTTTGACCCCTATACGTCAGGATTTTTTTTTAATATAAAAAAAACGGTAAGAGTACCGATTAGGGAACCTTCCCCCAATGACCTTAACCTTGACTATGTTATCAAGGTCATGACCCTGAGTAACCTCCAACAGGTTTTAGCCGTCGCTCGTCCTTCGTTAAAAAGTTATTAACAATCATAGTTTTAAAGTTATAATCATATTTAATATTAAAAAAAATTTAAACAATGATCTTGTTTGCTTGTTCGTATTTATTAAAAATTAAGGATCGTTTGTATGGAAATAGTGATGCGTGGGTACAGTGAGGTAGTCCTTGATCCTTCGATAAATATCGAGCATTGCTCGATGTCCTTCGCAAATAAAAGCTCGAATAATTCTCTCTAATTATACTTCCTCTCTCATTACAGATATACGTTAGCATATCTTGGGCGTGATCCACAGAAGGATTACTTAACTGTTACGGTAGCACAATCGCTGCGCGAATAAGCCGAGGGGAAGAAAAAATTAGCGCCACGATATACATTTTCAATTGTCGTAAAAAAATGTCACTCATAATCATTAATACTATTATATATGGTAATAGTACAAAAATACTCGGATTTGACAACTATGTAACGAACAGTTACATCAATTACAAATATTGCAATAATAATTGAAGATGTTAGCGTTAATTGATCTTTTACCTTTTATTTCAATATACTTCGTACACTATACATGCTTATATAAATTACCTCGTTATAAATTGTTGCTTCGCAATCATATTATACGTCGAAATATTTTTTATCGATGACGGGATTTTTAACATGAATCTAATTAGTCATTACTTAGATGTTTAATTAATTTAATTAGAATATTTAATTAATGTTAATGAGATTGTAGAGAGATGTTATGATTGACAGTTACGTAAATAATGAAAAGGCTATAATGTTTCATTAAATAATTTCTCAGGTCAAAATTAATTTTTTATGTGCTAATATTTTTAAAATATAAATAATAATTAATGATAAAGTAAAGGTTTTTGAAAATAAATTTTAAGCAATGAATAATAAAACAAGAAAAATAAATGGCTGTAAAGAATATGAATTATGTAAGTAAAAGTGTAGTCTCAGCGTGATTTTCTTTATTTTACTATATCTGATTGCGATAATTACTTCAACCATATAAATTCTATCACATTATTTTTATTAATTATTGAAGATGACCTAAAAAACGATCGAACAGTCTTAAATTTGAATTTTAACAAATAAATTAAAATTTAGGTATTTACATGAACATTTATTTTATTCTGATTAACATTTTTTTATTTATATAATAAAATTGCATTTTCAATAGAAAAATTGGAAAATTGCCAGATATGTTTTTTATTATATTCGTTAAACATCGATTTGCAAGAAAAATTCTGCTATTAGCTAGAACAGAATATATAATGCTGTAATATTATACATAATGCGGTATAAGTGAGCAAGTGCTATAATCGTAAACTTCAAAAAACAAGAAATAAAATAGCCACATGAACGTTGTATAAAGGCAACCACATTAAATTAATGACAGAGTAATTCTACGTTAAAGAACAAATTATTCATGTGCAAAAAAGTAACGATTTATTATCTTACGATTTATCATCGATTTATTATCTTAAAAAAATATCGGAAGCAAACTAAAAAAGGTCTCCGTATCTAATCTTAAAGATTCAAGGTTTTTTCTGGCATCGTTTTCTGGAATTATACATGATATAATAAGTACGCAGATATTTACAGATGTGCAACATTTGCATAATAAATTTTAACTCCAAGGATTTGCGTAGTACGCCTACCTTATTGATGTTAACGATAGAGATTCACACAATAAGTAAAACGTACGAACATCAGAATACAATTTAAATTTAATTAATAATATAATTGTTAAAAAATATTTATTTAAATTTAGTGATTTTTTTAGTGTTTCTTAAAAAATATATTAAAGATAGTAACATCAAAATAGAAGTAACAGAAGCAATTTAATTCGAAATTAAGGTAAACAGTTCGTAAACTTTAATTTTCCTTTCAAACTCGATATTTTTAAATTAAATTGCAGATCATTGTATATAAAAAAAGCATCAGATTATTAGATTATTAGACAAAAACACACACATACACAAATTTGTTTTTATAAATCAATTGTTTATTTTTTCAGAATAATATTCCAAAAATATGTGAATTTGTATTTGAATGTATGTGAATTAAAATAAGTATTTTGATTTAAAAAAAACAATATAAAGAGCTTCCAAATTTTATCAACAAAAAAATATTAAAAATATGAAATTTATCAGTTCAATTAATCTTTATATTTAAAATTTAGTCTCAACTGTTCTTCTAAATGCGTGTTTATATAAATTTATATTAAGTTGACATTGATTATTACGTAAGAGAGCAAATTGACATCAATCTTTGTCTATATTGAAAATAAAATAACGCTAAGCAGAAAGTCGATCTCTCAATTTCAAAGTGCTTAGATACTTGGTTGCACTTATCGTGAACCAATGGTCAAGTACCGTTTTTCATCCTCGCGGCAAAAAGTTATAGAGAAGATCGCGCAACATACATACAATCAAGAGATTATTTATTCACTAGATTGACCCTTTATTGTAATTTCAATATCGCAATAATGTTCGCTACAAGAATTACGATGTCGCGACTCGTCGGTTAAAGAAAAGCAGGGTATTTCTCTCAATGAGCATAAATTACGAAATCTTGAAAGATCTATGAAAGTTGCTGCAATATATTCACCTGAGCCTTTTATCTGCAATCAAAATCATTAAGATTAATGCTGTGGCTGGAACTCGTAAATTCGTAAATGCAATTAAGATATAAACGTACAAGAGGTGGTAATATTTGTGTCCCAATGAATCACCTTACTGAAATAATTAATTATATTTCACAACTGTTCCATTGCGCTAGCTAGCTTAACGTATTTAGTATCTTACACTTAGACGAAAAGGAAATTTTATAATTATATTCAACAGAAATTGCATAGAATCTGTATTGTAATATTTAACGATAAAGCTTCTTGGATCTTTAATGTTAGATATAAAAATCTTTTTATTTTGCTTTTTGATATCTTTAAATGAATGTTGTATATTATTAAAAAATCATTAAAGATATTGATAAAATATGTAAAGACAAAATATCTTCTCAAACTTCCTATTTACTAAATGCAGAAGTATATAAATACCGTGCATCTCCTCAAACTTGTTATATATAGGAAGCAATTTTATCGCATGGGAAATTTCACAGGAGAATGACGAAAAGATCAGAGTATGTAGACGGGCAAGAATAAGAGCATGAAAACAGCCTTGTTAGAAGACTATCTGATTATAGCTTCACTATAATTTGAGATTCCTCATGGATTCCGCTTGGATAATATCTTTCCCCTTTTTGCCCATAGATATCTTCATGTTGATGACTCTCGGTCTACTTGGTCTCGCAAGCGGTTGCATCATATTGCTGTGTGATCCTTACGAATTACTCTTCAAATGGAAAGCAACCTTTGGCGAGGGCGGAGAATCTTTCGAGTTTTGGCAAAAACCTGAAGTCGATCTCTATGTCAAGATCTATTTGTTTAACGTGACAAATCACGACGAATTCCAGAACGGTGAAGCAAGCAAGTTACGATTTCAAGAAGTTGGGCCCTACGTGTATAAGTAAATGGCATAATAATTTTATGAAATCTTACTTACGCACTCTTACTTACTTAGAAACGCACTCTACGTAAATTTCTCTTTTGTAGTCAAAAATGAATCATAAAGTCAAACCAAATTATTATTATTACACATTAATTATATTAAATTAAGTGTTTTTTGTTACTTATAATATTTACATTCATCTTAATTAATAATAAGTGATCAAATTATTTTAAAAACATCATTTTTTTAAATATCAAATTTATAAAATTTGTATAATGTAAATAATTTTAAATGACTTATAAATTATTTGGACCAATTCAATTACGTGTCGCTTACGAGGTATTAAAAAAAATGAACTGATTGACTTGTGGAAATCTCCAGCGGAAATTACATATTCCTGCAATAAGAATTCTTTCGTAATTGTGGAAAGTGAAGGTCGGACGTTCAAGAGCTCGAAAGAAATAAATGAATCATCTTACAAATAATAATTAGTAAATTAACGTGATCTAGTTTGTGTGTATTCCATATTACTTATCCTTTCATAACAATCGTTCTTGTTTTTTATTCTCAACATTTAAATGAAGTAAATTTGCGTTATAACACGTTATACTCACCTAATCAAATGATCAAACAAGTGCAACACGTTGTAATGTGATCGTTCTTGGATCAAAGTAACTCAAGCTTACACCAGTTCATTGCCAATTGATCTTTCAATTAAGTACAAACGCATGCTTGTAAAATTAATAAGAGAAAAACATAAAGAGATAAATTGCAGAAACAGCAGAATAAATTTTACCATAAATTAAACGAATTTTTTGAAATTATGTTCCAAAAATAATTCTTCCAAATTTTTTCAAATGTTTGAATTCACACTTTAACAATATTTAAATAAATTCGCTTTATATAGATTATAATAATGTTTCTTTTTATTATAGTATATGTATAACAATAATATATATAATGTTCAAATATATTTCTATGTAGGCTCTATAATCCTTATATATATGTATACATATATATATTTGAATTTTTTTATTAATAACATTTTTATGTGATAAATATTTATTTGTATAAGAACACACTTGATCCCCTATGCCACAAAGTGTCTTTTCAAAATGTATATGAGACGGAAAAGAATGTATTTTTAACACATAATTGAGCGTATCTAATGACAAATGAATAAATAATATTATATATTCTATTATTACATTATTCTATTGATAATTAATGTTATTTTATTATTACACCTTGTTGCAGAGAAACATTTGAGCATGCGAATGTAGTTTTCAATGACAATGGTACGTTATCGACGATACCAGTGCATCCACTGAAGTATGTTCCGGAAATGAGTATCGGCACGGAAGAGGATCTCGTAATAATGCCGAATATTGCGCTGTTTGTAAGTAATAAAGTATTACTCTTGTAAATCGTAAATTATATGGCAAGAAAGAGAGAGAAAGAAATCTCAGAAAAGTTATTTTATCGCATGCATGTACAAATGTATACGTTCATTCCGATAATCAAACCTGTTCGTGCGAAAATGACTGCTCGTTGACGTTAAGAAACGTGTCGATTTTGTTAAAAATGGAAAGGTACAATACGATAAGATCAATGATTACATTCCATTTCTCTTTCCGTACATTGGATTAAACTATTTACAAATTAACTGGAGCACGTGAATATACTAACAATAAGATAAATGAGACGATATTTCAAACTTTATCAAGTATATCAATCTTATACTAAATCGAATATAACCGAAATCTTTTAATACATATTCCGTCGAATTCTTATAACACAAATCGATACAAACCCAGAAACGACAGTACGTAATCCCGAAGAGTTTTTTATACTAAAAACAAATTCGTAGTCCAAATTGTTCCATGTTTCATGTCAAGTTTGTTGAAATATTCTAAAGTAAGTAAAATTTCTATTTTGGACTTAAATTCGAATATCTCGTATATCACGTAATGTGATGGAGAAATATGGGCTGCGGATTTGAATTCAACATAAACAAATTTTCAAAAATCATCTATCAGGTTTTATAAATAAGTCAACATAATGATATTGCAACTATTTTTACCGTATCAAATTTAAAGTCACAAATAGAAACGTGACTATTATTATTGACTTCGTACTTTTCTTATTTTTAAATTTTTAATTTTTTATCCGAGTTTGATTAAGGGAAAGTTATGACTGTCCCTCATCAATTTTATAAAACTTAACGAGTATGTTGAGTGTTTTCTCCTAATATATCAATTCTGTTTTGAACGCAGACAATAAATTATTTACAAAATATTATTATAAACATGTTTAAATGCTTTATTGCCTTACGTTCTCTACTGTGACAGAAAAATTCTCTTACATTTTACGGCTTACGATTATCTTTTTTATGTGCCATGCTCCTACGAAGCAGACCTTAAAATTTATTTATTACTAATCGTAAAAGGAAGAATATGTCGTGACATCAAATAGATTGTAATTAATACATGCTAATTAAAGAATAATTAAGTTGCAGTTATTATTTGTATAGCTGATTAATAGTTAAGTATTTAAGATATTACATATAAATCAATAAAATAATAAACAAGATTTTCTGCATATTCATCATGCAATTCAAAGCGTCCGATTATCCAGAAGGATGTAATTAATCGAGGAACATGCTTATATGCATCATTCACGACACGTTCGATGTATCTGACTTGATATCTAAGATTACAAAAATCGACCATCATTATTCGACATCGCATATACAAGCGTGCATATCGAGACGTGACAAAATAGATATAATAAAAAGAATTATAAATCTCGACCAGATAAATAATACGATACATCGATCATAAAGTTCATAATGGAAAAAAACGAATATGTCTTACGTAAGAGTATTAATTAACATAGCTTAAATAAAAATAGTATGCTTATAAATAAATACGAAATAATAAATTCAGGAACAAAACTCTCATATTTTCACCGCACTTATTTACATCTACATATTTAATAATTTCAAATTATAGAATAATTAACTCCATTCTTTATATCAATGATGTAATCGGAGTATTTATTTCTTTAAACACAACCTACTATATTTTTTAACATAATATTAATGAGTAGAAATTTTTAATTACTAACAGTATTAATAAGTATCTAATGATTATTCATATACATATATATATGTATAATAAATTTTAATTATTTTAATAATATGTATTCTTATCCATACATGCAAATATATGTATCGTATACATATAGGCACACAAATTTATAATCCTTTCTTTTGATGTTGCTCACAATTTCAATATATTATTCATTTTCTTGTAATAAATTTAGTAAATATTTGATTCGCGTGTAGTGCTACACGTATTATTATTATAAAAAATCAGTTAAAAAGAAACAATATGCATATGCGGGGAATAATAATATAAAACATATTTCGATTGCAACATCAAACAACTTAGTTATCGACTCACTGCACTAAACGTCTGTGTATTCTAATCCTGAGTTAGTGCTGACCCACGCTGATGCAATCAAAGTTCAATGGAAACTCGGACTTCTTCAAAGCATTTCTATGGCATTTCATTTATTCGATATGACACGATCTAGCACGTCGTAAATTTTTAAACAAACCGTTAATTACGATCGGTTTCGCAAAGCCCTTCCATTCTCGGAGAGACTTAAGAGTCTTTATTATGTGCGCGAGTTTATTGACGATAGGTACATTCCATTCTTATATAATGTGATATCGCGTTTTCTCGGATACGTATATTTTTGCAATGGCTAATTTATCAATTAGAAAACCGTGAAAAACATTTCTCGAGCGCAAACGCGTCTCATTAAACTTCGTTGTTTTGGTTAATCCAACGCATAAATTAAGGACGAATTTTTACTTATAAATATTTATCCGTATTCACAATCGATTGCCTATTTCAAAATTATCTTGATAGTTCAGTGATTACATTACTTTCACGGTATTATATGTTATATCCATATAATTAATGGAATTGTAACACAACATGGACATAACTCACAATCAGATATTACGTAAGAGATAAGAACTCGCGCTCTTGGATTTACATGAATTTTACATAATATTATACCACGAGGGTCAGTTAAATATTCCATATGACGTATTCTTTAACGTGACGCAGATTTCTCTAGAATATGCCGCTTACGAAAAATTTCCATTCGCAAGATGCATCCTCGAGAAACTCGTCACATTTGTTTTGCACGCTCAAGTAGTCGTGAAAAGCCAGGAAGACACATTTGATGCTAAAGAAACGCAAGCTAATGTCCTTTCCATCGTCACCTTAAAAGAGAAATTTGATTATTAAGGAACAATATTTGCGTAAGACCGATAATAATATAACTTTCTGTTTTGACATAAACTTAATTATTTTTTCATTGACTTTAAATACTGTTATCCATTTTTTGTATATTATATTTCAAAGAAATTTGATTATTAATTATTAACAAAAATTTACAACAAGACCAATACCGTGACTTTAAACTTCGACGTTTATTTAATCATTTCATTAGCTTCAAATACTATTATCTGTTTTTCGAATATTATCTCAATGAAATTCGATTATTATTAACAAATAATATTTGCACAAGGTAGTATAACAATTAAGTGATTTTCAATTTTGACAATAATTTAATTATCCTTTTGATTTTAAAATTGATTATTTGTTTTTTGAAAATATTAGCATCATACATTTTTATATAAAATTTTTTTAATAAATTTCCAAAGTTATAAATTATTCTAAGTTTAATAAAAATAATGATGATAATATAATGAGTACATTCTTGTGGTTAGTACATCATTTCGACATTCCTTTTTCATAAAAAAAATTGTCGAAATGATGTACTTAATAGCAAGAATGCCACTCATTGTTCTTATTACTGACATTATCGAAACAGATCGCATGCAAGCGTGCTTCACATTGTATCGAATAAATAATACAATGAACCGTAACACTGTTTAACTATATGTAGATATTTAAAGATCATAAGACGTACGTGTCTCATTATGTATTTTTCATACAAAACTTAAAATGTACTTCTAAGTATCCCTTCTCACAACAAATAAAGTGCTAAAATAATATATAAAAAGCAATCTTGTGAGCACTTATACTTATGTTATAAATAGAAGTTAATTAAAACAATAACTGCTTAGTAAAACGTAACTAAATATAATATATTTTTATTATATTAGTTTAAGCAAGCAAATATATGTAGATATATAAAATATGCAAAACAATGTAATGCGTGCTCATTATCATAATTATGAAACTTGTTACAATTAAAAAAATTTAACGAGCAACAAAAAAATATGTAATCCGATACATTACATTTTAAAATTAAATTTATTTCTATTAATTAATTTTTTTTTTTTTAATAAATCGCTATTTTCACGCAATAGTGTTTTGTACAGAACGTTGTTTTTTCGATGCAGGAGCAATAATGTAGTATCTCTAATCTAAAATATATATCAAAACTACTAGTTTCTTTCATAGTATTCTCATTAAACTTGATGTATTAATCCATTCGTACAAAATTTTATACAGATATCATATTTTCTATATACATATAAACCCTAGATCGAACATGGACGTTCAAAAGACGTCCAGTGTACGCTCGATTTTACACATTCTAACGTCCACTAGATGTTTTCACAACTTTGAACTACATTGCATACGGGCCATTCCATGTATGTCCTATGAACGTCCTAATGGATGTCCAAAATTGGATCGGTACGACGATGTCTATTTCATATCTATAGACATGCAAACATAAAAGGATGTTTATAGAACATTCTGTGCTATCTGTGGGTGGTCTAAATAAATTAAATATGCTGTATTTTTATAAAAGTAAAATTAATTAATAGATAAATTAACAAAACAAATGCATTTTAAATTAAATCAGAGAATTATTTATGTAAGAAATTATAGTAATTCGCACATTCATAAATCGTACGTTACTATTAAATCATTTTCAAATCGTTCCTACAAACGTGACTGATAGAACAATTTCCTTTTCAAATAAGAAATAAATAATTAAATTATAACTTTTTACAAAAAAGTTTTGGTGCAAAATAATTTTGTGTTACAATTTTGTGTTATTTATATTTTATATACTACGTAAATTCATCTGTTACTATACGATACGATAATTACTTTAAAGTTATTGCGTCTAAGAAAAAATGAAATCTTAACATTTAATTAAATTCGCTGTTCAATGCGCAAGAAGTGCAGTGAACCATGTTTTATGAAGAATCCGCTTAAGCAATACATTCTTCGCGGACAAGCAAATTGTAAAACCGTCAGTTAAGAGTAATAGATATGCCGTAAACACACTCTTATCTGTTTAAAAGGTCGCACGAGAGAAAGCGTTTCGTGTATGTGCAGCTTTTCTATTGCATGCAGTAGCCATTGTCTATTGACATTGATTACTATACCAAGTTATATCGAGTCTTTTGAAAATTAGGACAGATACATACAAATAATGTCTTAATTATTGTTTCATATCTCTATTAAAATTTATATTTCATTATTATTAAGAAACAAGTAATTAATTGATGATTAAGATTTTTACTTTGAGAACAGGTTTTTCAAAAATCTGTACTGAAAAAGCAATTTAGATATTTTAGATCTTAATACATTTTCTTTGAATAGTACTAAGTAAATATATACTTACAGTAAATAAATGTTTACTTAATAAAAATTAATAGTTAAATTAAATTAATTTTCATATCAAATAAATATATGTTTACATTTAATAAATATTTACTTAGAACTGTTTAAACAAATATTTATTAATATTTAGTATTTTTTTTCAATATATTTTATAAAAGAATTCATTTTTATGTGTTATTAGATTTATTCTGTAACAAATTTTTTTTAAATTAAATTTGAATTTCTGCATTGTCAACGAAACACGTACTATCAAAATAGTAACTTTTTTTATAAAACACATACAATCAGTATTATTTTTATTTTTTATGTGGATTATCTTAAAATATAGAACTACTGAAAATGATTCGAAATTGAGCCGAAATATTCACATTTATATATTTTAAATAAATTTTGTTTATTAATTTATATTACGCTCTGAGATCCGTCTGACTCTCAACAGTCCTTTCACCTATAATTATTGATTTTTATTTTAAATTCTTATATATATACTTATTTTTTATTGCAAAAGTTTTGCATGTAATTTCAAGTACAATTTAAAAGCATATTATAAAATATAGAACAAGTATTCTAGGATTTTACAAGCTACTAGCTTGAAACTGGTTAAACCTCCTACATGTATGTCATTATTTATGTTAGCCGCGTTATCAGTATAAAGCCAATGACCCTGGCAATCGCTTGAATGAAGAATGTCTATAGATTGCAATACATTAATTCTTTCCACTATTGAAGACTATTGATATGTCACACTTAATTCGATAAAGAGCAACATATTATAATGACATACAATAAATGTCAATAAGCAACATGTCATTGATCCAACAATATAACGGATACGATTTATCACGTTATATACACTTTAATAATTTGATTTAAACTCGACATTTATGTGTATGTCCATACAATTTTTTTCAAAGATAATTCTATTCTTGATTTATAGATATTTTAAATCTAAAATATAGAATCTTACATTTCTCTTATGAGTATATATATATATATATATATATATATATAT